TCAGAGCAGAGAGGAGCACAGCACTCACAATCTGCTAATTTAGGGTGGCTGGGAAGTCTCAGGGTGTTGGGACACCTGCTGTTGAGTTCTCTGTCAGTGACATAGCTGAGCATCCCATGGCCTAGTGAGGAGAAGTCCTCCTTGAGCAGGCATTTCTTAGTCCTCCTTAGTAGGCATTTTCTGGGCAGACCGAGAAACCTCCTTGGGGTGTGGGAGAGCTGGTCCCCAGAGTTGTGTGCTGGAAGGCAAATCTCCCTGCTCCCTTGGGAGTGTGGGATCAGTTCTTCCACATCACATCACAGAGTCAGAGTGTTTTCAGTACAAGCTTAAGGATATGTTCCTTAAGCAAGAACTGCTTGATGGAGCCCCAGAAGCTGATTGAGCAGAGGGATGTCTGTCGAGTACATTTTTAAGAGGTTTTGACTGTAGAAAGGATTCAGCAATGCTCACTTGGGCTAGAGGCAGCCCTGGAAAACTTGGGGCCAAAAAAACCATGGCTTAGCAGGGCTGCTTGGAGGCTTCTCCACTGTCCTCCAGAGAAGCAGTGTCTTCATTCCTTTGCATCCTGGAGCCAAAGGATGGTCTGTGGTGCAGGTGAAGTCCATCATCGTGCCCCTGTACATACTGACAAGAGTAGCTTTTGTCAGAGTAGCTCCTCATGGCTGAAGGGAAACCCCCACCGAGGCTGCCAGCACCAGGCAAAGGTAAACGTTGAGGCACAGTTTCAGTACTTAGATTTACAGATGAATTAAGTACTTAACTTAGAATTTAGTGCTTCAATTCAGAACCGACGCCATTCCTTGCCATCCAGCCCTCTCCGGACCGGCGGAGGCGGCTCCTCAGGGCCGTGGATGTCAGCCAGGGGCAGAAATGGCGGCGGGGCCGGGCAGGGCAGGGTCCCGCCCGCGGGCAGCCCCGGCCCGTTCCCCAGCGCGGCGCTGGTGGAATTCTCGGGCCGGGCAGTTTGGCTGGGACGTGCGGGAGCTGCCGGGCCGGGCGGGGCTGCAGGCAGGTGTCCGGCTCCCTCTGCGCCGCTCCCGCCCCGCCGGGTCCTCACCGGGCTCCTACCTTCCCGGGACTTCAAATTATCGCTAAACTTTCAGTCCTTAGTTTTCTTGGCTGCAAACCCGGTAACGAATCGCTCAGACTTTGTTTTTCCACTGCTCCCGAGGCTTGATTTATTGTGTCTCTCTTATCGCACAATCGGGCTTCGTTCAAAATGTTATTCTGGGCTAATTCCATACCCCGGTATTTATTTTGACTGTCCCTTCTCATTAGCGTTACTGATTTTCAATCGCTCCCCGTTCCCTGTTAAATCCCCTCTCTGCCCGCCCGGGCTCGCCTCTTCCATCCCGTTCGCGTTTCCATCCCGTGTGTGTGGGTACCCGGAGCGGTGCCCGTCAGCCGCGACCCGCTGCCCCCGCGGCTGCGGCCGGAGCCTCGCCCGGGGGAACCCGCTCCGACCGGGAACATCCGCGAGCCGGAGATGCGGCGGCGGAGCGAAGAGAAAGGGCTCGCTTTTAACAGGGCACCGCCTGAGCTCCCAGCCCAGCGATTAAATTTCTCTCCTCCAGCAAAACCGTTACTTTATCCTAAGAAAAACAGCGCGAGCGGGGCGAGCGGCGGCGGGACCCGCACGGAGCCGGGGCCGGGCGCGGGGGAGGGCGGAGGTCGAGGCGAGCGGGAGGCGATGCCGCCCCGACAGCTCCGTGATTGATGACCCACCCGCCCGGGAAGGGGCGGTCGCTGTCGCCCAGGCTGGAGGGGGGAGCCCGGAGCCCAGGTGCGACACAGCCCCGCCGCACCCACCGGCCGCGACGGCTTAAAAACACCCCGGCCGGACGGGACGGGACGGGACGGGACGGAGGTGCCGGAACCTGGCGGCGGGCGGGAGCGGTAAGTTCAGCCCCGGGCGGGCACCGCGGGGTCCTGCCGGGTGCCGGGCAGGCGGGATGCGGGACCGGGATGCGGGACCGGGATGCGGGACCGGGACGCAGCAGCCGCCGCGGGCCGGCGGGGCCGTGAGCGCCGGTGCTGCCCCCGCACACCGACAGGCAAGTTCCTATTTCTCTGCTCCGGGAAAGGGCTTTCGGTACTTGTTACCGGAGTTACACGGAGGGCAACGCCTTTTTAAAAGCGATGTAAAATAATTCCGATTCACCGTGTTTTGCCCCCTAAGGAGCAACGGAAAAGTTTATCTAAGGTTTCCACCTGTTTGTTTTCGGTTTGTGCGCTCTGCTCTGGCATTTTCCATCTTTTCCTTGTCTGTGTGGGCAGGTTGCCTTCATCGCCATTTCATTCACACAGAATATAAGACTAGAATAAATGTTGTGCTGGGTTGTTTTTTTTTTTTTTTTTGTAAAAGATGTCAAACCAATCATGTCTTTGTAGTGTCATGTAAAAATACAAATGCATCTGCATGCATTAGAAATACTGCACTAGAAGTGCTTTAGAAACAACATAAATACTTTAACTTACTTTCACAGCCCTGTCCTCAACTCTCTCAGCATACCAGGTGGCAAGTGGGTGCTTGCAAAAATTACTGCGATTATTTATAAACTAAACATTTTTCTTGTAAAATTTTAAAAGGGAAAATGACTGTTGCCCAGAGGCTTTTCATTTACTTTAGTTTTTAGCAGCATTTTTTGGACTGTGAGGTTTTGGCGATGCCTGAGTTTGAAGCACCTGGAATGGATGTCCTGATTACTCCGGGGAGAAGAGTGATGCTGCCCAGTCCCAGTGTGCAACAGAAGTGATCCTGGCTGTGGATCCAGGAACCATCATGATTTGGCTACACATATGTACATACCTACAGCAAATCCTTCGTTTGGTGTAGCAGATTTTCCCAGGCCATTTGCTGTTTGTGTTTGATGGGAAATCTGACAGCAGAGAAATTTAATTCAGAGTGAAATCTCTCATTTCCACAGCTGAAATTTTGTACTTTTTTTTCCCACAGGATTTTATCAGATATAGATGAGAAGCTCCTAAACCAGAAACTCCTATTTCCAAGGGCACCCAAGGAGATGAGGTTTTTAGTTTTTTGGGGTTTTTTTACATTACTATGTACTGTATGTCACTCAATGTAATTTCAGTTCTAAATGTGCTTATACACTAGCACAGCAAAATCAAAATGTGTGTAAACCAGCCCTAGTCCTGCATTTCAGTAGAGGAGCAGGTATTTTTGCTAACCCAGTCTGTCCCTATCCTTGAGTGATCCAGACTTCTCCAGTAGCTGGGGAAGGCTTCCTCCTACCAGTGGGATTTTGATGGGATGGCAGTGAGAAATCTTGCTGTTAAACATAAATTGTTAGATTCTTCTGCCAGTGAACATCATTGTAATTATCTTAAATGAATGTCTTGATGTCCATTTCCACAATGATAATTTTTTTTTAAACTGCATCCAGGTCTGACTATGCCTTAACACAAACACCAACAAAAAGTATATAATGATTTTTTTTAAGGTTAGAGACAATAGCCAATGTAAAGACCATTTTCAGCCCTCAATCAAGATGAGCTCGTGGAGTCCTAATGTAAGATTTATTTTATACTGATCATAAACGCCACAATAAAAAGAATATTGGGGTTTTTTCCCTTTGGTTTAGAGTTATAATGTGCATAGAATATTTCACAAATAATTTCAGTCTAAACTGTACTGCTACTGAAGAGACCATTACATGATACTATTCTGTGAGCCACATTAATAGCAAATTAATGACAATTAATTACCCAAAATAATAACAGTAAAAAAGTTTTCTAAATATCATCAAATTATAACACTGCAAAAAGATTTATTTAGAAACTTTTCCTTGTCTTTGATAGAAATCTTTAAACTCAGTGTGTGCTTGAAATGCTCTGCAAAATCAAGAGCTAATTCCTGTAAATGTATATATTCAGTCATTTATGTGCATCAGTGTTATTTAAACTATTAATTATGCAGTATTTGGATGAAATTAAAAGGTTTAATAACTTGTTCCTACCCTTGTCTAGCCAGGCTGTCACAGGAACAGACACTCCTAACACATGAAAACCAGGATCTGGGACACCCACGAGGGCTGCTTGGCTGAGGACCACAGGATCAGGTATTATTCCAACTAAGAAGTGCTGCACTTTGGGGAATATTGATTGAATTGCATTTTTCTATGGAACTGAATGAATTAAAGGATTGTAAGTTGTATTACAGGCAGAGTTGACAGACCATCCTCACAAAAAGCTGAAAAAAGACCTTAAGGTCACTGTTTTCAGCTTTTCTTTAAATCATTTTTTTGATGTTTTCAAAAGGTTATTTTGCCCCCCAATGGCCAAAATACATCTTACAAAATTCTTTTGAAGTTTGAAAATGTAGATGAGAAAGGATAAGCACGCAATTTCTTTAGTAAGGTTAGGGGTGGGAAGACAGGAGAAGTCAGTTCCTGATCCTTTAAAATGCTGGGCCAAATTTTGCCCTTCAAAAACTGAGTCCGTGCTCTGTCTTCACTTACTGATGCATTTGAAAATAATATTTTTCTTTCCATAGTCCTTGAAGAACTGATCACCTATAAGACTGTTCATAAAATGATTGCAGTGAAAATAGAAAATATACTAACAGTTCCACATCCCAAATCATAGAGTTTTAAAAATTGCCTTTAGCCTAATTTTTAGTTGATTATAAAAGGAAACCACTGTGGCAGTGCCTCTGGGTAGTGCCTGTTGGGTTTTCTCAGAAGTTATCTCTGGGCTATGAGTGACTCAAAAAAGTTGCTCTGTGTAATACTGCCAAAAAAGTCAAATACCGACCATTGCAAAGATTTTAACTTCTGTTCTGTACCCCTGGGTGATGCTGAATTTGTAAGCAGGGAGTGGAAAAGCAGTTCACAGAGCTGCATTCCAGCTTTTCCTAGCACAGGCAGTGCTTGCCTTTCTGACCATCCTTATTTTCAGAACGTGCTGGCTCCAGCTCACTGCGGCATCTTACTTTGGAGATGCTCTTCTACTTGCAGGACCCCCCTCCCTCCCTGCCGGGGATGGACTGTGGACACTTAGCAGAGAGCAGCGAGGAGATCTCCAGCCCGGGGGCAGAGCCCGATTCCTCTGCCGGCAGCAGCACTTGCTGCCCGCCGCTGGCGGCCGGTGCCGCTCCCGGTGCCGCTCCCGGTGCCGCTCCCGGTGCCGCTCCCGGTGCCGCTCCGGGCCGCCCCGCCGCCGCCAACGCGGCCCGGGAGCGCAGCCGGGTGCAGACCCTGCGGCACGCCTTCCTCCAGCTGCAGAAAACCCTGCCCTCCGTGCCGCCCGACACCAAGCTCTCCAAGCTGGATGTGCTCCTCCTGGCCACCACCTACATCGCGCACCTCACCCGCAGCCTTCAGGATGAGGAGGAGTCACCGGGAGAGGCCTTGGGCACCCTGCGCGGGGATGGGTACCTGCACCCTGTCAAGGTAGGGAGCTGAGGGACAGCCACCACCTTGTGTCACTGAGTGAGTACACTGGCCTTAGACAGGTAATTCAAACTAAAGATTTAATGTCCCTGGACCTTGCCGAGAGGTATTACATAGAAGTTCTGCCTGGACTAACCACTGTGCCTAGGTCTTAGGGGTCTCTTGGAAATACCTTGGAGCTTTGTTCCTCCAGCTTCAGGAACTTTGCACCAAAATATCAAATCTCATGTAGATCCAAACCTGGTTGTTGGAAATGAAGATCAGCACCACAGGAGTCCTTGCATCTTCTTGGTCCTTGTGTGGAAACCTTGGTGATCCTGAGGGACCCAATGGATCCTGCTGTGAGGGTTGTATGTGCTGAGGTGACACTGTCCCACAGCTGTGGGGGGTGTATACAGTGAGGTGACACTATCCCAACACTCCCCCAGCTGTGAGGGGTGTATGTGCTGAGGTGACACTGTCCCACAGCTGTGAGGGGTGTATACAGTGAGGTGACACTGTCCCACAGCTGTGAGGGGTGTATGCAGTGAGGTGACACTGTCCCAACACTGTCCCACAGCTGTGAGGGGTGTATGTGCTGAGGTGACACTGTCCCACAGCTGTGAGGGGTGTATGCAGTGAGGTGACACTGTCCCAACACTGTCCCACAGCTGTGAGGGGTGTATGCAGTGAGGTGACACTATCCCAACACTGTCCCACAGCCGTGAGGGGTGTATGTGCTGAGGTGACACTGTCCCAACACTGTCCCAGAGCCGTGAGGGGTGTGTGTGGTGAGGTGACACTGTCCCAACACTGTCCCACAGAGGTGACCCAGCATGGCTGGGCCTGCTTTGGTTCTGCTGCCCCGGCAGCCCAGTGCCCACAGCAGTGTTAATTACCAGCCACGTGTTAATTACTCCATGAAAGTGCTCTACCAAAGCATTTCTCTGGTTGGTGTATGCTCTTCCCTTTGTCAAACAAAAATCACAGCGATGCAGAAGGGATGAGAAAGGGGAACTGCTCTTGGAGAGGAGCGGGCTGGAAACTGTTTCCAAATGCAGCACTCACTGACTGATGGGGCTCAGACACCGCAGGGTGTTTTCTTTGGCTCTGCTCACAGGGAGTGAGCTAGAGCACTGGGATGTTTGCTTTTCTTTTTAAGAGTCTGAATTCAGAATGATTTAATTAAGATTAATTTGTGAAGTAATCTCTAATTTCTAAAAAGTGCCTAATTCACAGAGAGTTCCTTGTTCACGGTGTTGGTTGCTATATTTTACAGTATGATGTGAATGTAGGCTTCTGAGGCCATTTAAATGATTAGCAGACTCATAAAGAAAGCAAAACCTCTATATCAATTAGAAGATGGCTATAATTTAAGTAAAAAAATACTGTGATGTATTTCAAAATAAGTTCAAAATAGCTTCTGTTACTTCCCTCAGTCAGAGTGAAAGGACACAGGTCTCTCATGGTACTTTTTATTCAGCTGCCAACTACTACTGGCAAAAAAATACTTTTGAATAGTTATTACAGCAGTTAAATGATCCAGATGCCCATTTCCCAGGCTACTGGAAGAGAGTAATACTGGATTCACTTAAGCAATTATTTTTTAATGAATATATTTGATGAATGTGTCACAGTCAAATCTTAATATGTGTTTCAAAAACCCCAAAACACAGGATATGAGACAACCTTTAGAGATAAAATCTTTAACTAAGCTGATAGATTAAGCATAGTACATGCAAATAGTGAGGGAAGTTAAATATTCAAGTACAGTTGTGTGTACACTGATTGAAAAGTATGGTTAATGACTTTGAACTTGGATGGTTTATTAGTGACAAACTCTTAACATCACACTTGAAATGAAATGCTGAATGAGATCGCACGGTTTAAGTGAGGATATGCTGGTGCTTTAGGTCTTTGCACAGAAGAGCTGAGATTTATCTGCATTATTATTAAGTGCCCTTTACCCACAGGAAAGGTGCCAGTCTGTACCCAAAAGAGTCTCTAAAAAACTGCATTCTTTTGGAACAATGTGCTGGCTGCATTTCAGGTATTTTTGCATCCAGTGTGTGTAACAAGTTGTCTCTTCAAGCATCCACATCTGTAATAGTGACCTTGGCACAGCAAACGGAGCTGGATGCTCCCTCCCAAGTTCTGGGTGCCCAGCTGCAGCCACCTGCACCACAGGGCTGCTTGCAGTGAGAAACCTGCTGGGGTTAGAAACTCAAGCTGTCAGAATAAATATTTAACACCAAGACTAACGAATGATTCCAAAAACCAGTGAGTGTAAAGATGAGCTGTGTTATCTGAAATAGCTGGAGCTGACAAGAACAAGATGCTGAGAGTGCTGAAGACTGCCAAGGTGCAATTACATTAAATTCCCTTAGACTCACAGCCTTCAGCAGCAGCCCCTGTGGTGTTGTGGGGCCCAGCCAGCAGGGATGGCTGTGCACATGGGGCTGCAATCCCTGCAGGTGCAGGTGTATCCCTGTAGCATCCCTGGTGCCTTGAGAAGGAATTCTTTGTTTTATTCTACTAACAGAAGAACATCTGTGACTCAAACTGAGCATGGCTGACTGGCCTGGTCCCATTTGCTGGGGCACGGCAGGGTTGGGAGCTGTGCCTCACAATTACCAAAGCAAATACCCAGGCTGAGCTCCAAAGAAGCTGCAAACATTTTTCCATCGAATGACAAAAATGGAACTGTGTGGTGATAGCAAGAGTTTCCTATTTTCTTGCACTGTGATTCCATCAAATCTCTGCTGAGAACTGCAGCTGGAGTGCAGAGATCCCGGGTGTCTCAGTGCTGTGCTTGTCTCCTCTCTTGCAGAAGTGGCCCATGCGTTCCAGGCTGTACATTGGAGCCACAGGACAGTTTCTGACTCACTCGGCACAAGGAGACAGCGCAAACCATGGGGAAACATCAACATCTTCACAGATCTAACCTCCCTTGAAAAAAAAAAAGGTTATTTATTACACCTTATATAAATATATATTTAAGTTTAAAAAACAGTATCTACAGACAAACTGTAATTTCTGAAATGCTGTTTGTAGGGGAGAAGGAATTGATTCTTAAATGTAATTAATACCTCATTAAGTAAACGTGACACTTCATTGGTTTCTGTCACTGCTGCGATCTGAATGAGGGGGAGCCGGTGGTGTCTGCAGCCAGCACCAATCCGAGCAGCAGCAGCAGCAAAGAGCTGCCGGCAGTCAAGGATCCTTGTCCTCTCTGGGACTAGCGCTGAGAGAAAAGAGAGGAGGAGTTATGTGCTAATGGCCAAGTACAGGGCAAAACAGGCTTGGGTGAAAAGAGAAGGGCAAGGCTAAAAATAGCAACTGTAATCCCACACAGACTTTCTCCACTGCTTAAAGCGGATGGCAGAAATCCCCTGACCACAGCTGTCAGGTCAGGGCTCCAGCCATCGGAGAGTCCTACTCTTTGTAGCTATTGCTGGGAATATGGATGCACGTTCATGGAGTAAAAATGTGCTGAGAGACCCGTTCCTCCTGCACAGAGTGCTGCAGTTTGGGCACTGCTTGTACCCACCCCAGGACTGTGCTGCATGTTACACAGGGCTCAGGCTGTGTTTGCTCCCCCGGCACAACCACGTGTCTGCTCACCACACCACGGCTCATTTCATTTAAGGGGTTCATGTGCTGGAGCAGGTGAACCCAAACTGTTGGCTTGTTCACTTAAACATCTGTATTTAGGCAAGAAAAGTTGAAACTAAATGCACAAATGTCATCCTTTCTATCTGTTCTGTAAAACACTGTACTTCTCATATGGTTTGTTATTGCTGAGGTAAATGTTCTATTAAATATTATTCAGTGAATATCATATACTTTGAGTTGCAAAATCTGTTATTGGTTTCTCATTGTACACGATAATATTCTAAATTTATAGATGTTGTCTCCTTTCTGAAAGCTTCATGGTTTAAATTTAAAAATTGTATTTAGAAAAATGAAATTATTAGCCAGAACAACTTTCATAAAAACAGTGTGGTAAAATCTGGAGCTCTCAACTGCCCCTGCAGCATTCTGAGCTTTTTTTTAACAAGACAATATACCTGGAAGGGACAGTATTCAAGAACAGAAAAAAAAAAAAAAAAAGATTCCTCAGTGTTTTTAAAAGGCTTATTCCTTTAAATGGCATTGAAAGATTCTGACTGCTTAACCAAGAAGCAAGGGGGTCAGTTGGACATCAGGAAGAATTTCTTCAAAGAAAGGGCTGCTAAGCATTGGAATGGACTGCCCGGGGAGGTGGTGGAGTTGCAGGTGGTGGAGTCACTGCTCCTGGAGCTGTTCAAGGAAAGTCAGGAAATGCCACTTAGTAGGTTGATCAAAATGACAAGGTGGTGATAAGTCAGAGGAGGTCAGTAGCCTTTTCCAACCTAGTTTAATTTGTAAGAATGAAAAATGCTTTTGCAATAGGAGTTAAAAACATGGAAAGTTATTAATGGATGGCACAGAGAATACATCTCAGACTCAAGCAAGCTGCAAGACCTGTATCAGTTTCTCATTGTACATGATAATATTGTGAATTTATAGATGTTGTCTTCTTTCTGAAGACTTTAAAATTACATTTAGGAAAAAGGGAAAACAAAAACACTACCAAGAACAACTTTTGTTAAAAAAGTATGGTAAAATTTAGAGTTCTCCACAACCCCTGCAGTATTTACAAATAAATATTTACAATGCTCTGCAGGCAGCCAGAGAATCAGAGCAGCAAGCACTGTAGCTACTTACTGTAGCTGTATCCCTAAGACTTTTCCAGCATTTTATGGAATTATTATAGGCCTGTAAGAACATGCAAAATTACAACAGCAGTTTTTCAGTTAAGAAGTGTGGTGTGTTCGCAGGGGTCCCAGGATGAGGGAAGAGATGAGAATCTTGACTCCGTCTTTCAGAAGGCTGATTTATTTTATGATATATATTATATTAAAAGAAAATGATATTATAACTGTACTAAAGAATAGAAGAAAGAATTTCATCAGAAGGCTAGCAAGGAAAGGAATAGAAAGGAATGATAATAAAATCTTGTGACTGACCAGAAAGTCCAAGACTGGCCATTAATTAAAAACAACCACATGAGACCAATCAAGGATGCACCTGTTGCATTCCACAGCAGCAGATAGTTATTGTTTACATTTGGTTTCTGAGGCCTCTCAGCTTCTCAGGAGAAAAGATCCTAGCAAAAGGAGTTTTCATAAAATATATCCATGACAAAGAAGAGTTACCCATATTTATGAATGAGGATCTTTTTTCCCTTGAGACAGATTGTTCTGCATCAGAAATATGCTTTTCCTTCCAGAAGACACCAGCTTAGGCAACACGCTCCCTTTGAGCAGGGCAAGAGCTTTTATCTTCTAGAAACTTACACAGCAGGATAGCAACAGATCCTCTGAACCTGCTTGCTTCAAACCTGATGTTTGGTTCCAGTGCTACATTTCCTAGGAACAACTCATACCCTCGTATACTGAAACACAAGAGTTTGGCATTTAACCCTAGGAATACGCACGTACTTAGGAACACAGTTGTAAAATGCTTATACGCTGCTATCAAAAGCTGGCATTCTTCATGGAGGAAGCTAAAAGACCTCGGCAAACTTCGGTCATTGTCACCACAGCCGTTCCCTCGGAGGGATGGCACAGGTGAATTTCCCGCGGCCACAGTAGAGGAGCTGCCCTCCGGGCTGTTCGCAGCCGGAACTCCAGCAGCGCCTGCGGACCCGGATCGTTTCCCTTCCCATCCCAATCCCGCCCGCTGCACTCTCCCCGCGTCCCTGTGCGCGCGCAGCCGGAAGGCGCCGCTCCCGCCCCGCCCCGGCGCGCCGCGCGTATTTAGCGGGGTCCCGGCGGGAATCGCCCTTTCTCTTTCCAACGGGTACGGAACTGGAGCGGCCGCGCCTGCCCGCCTCCGTTCGGCGTGCGTGCCTCGGTGGGTGCTTGGATGGATGTGGCGGGGCCTGGCTGTGTCTGTAGGGCTCCCTTTGGCGGAGGAGCCGCAGGCGGTGGTTGGGAAGGGGGAATGCCCGGGCGTGGGACGTGCCCGTGCTGATCCGTGGCTTGGGAGCCGTCCTGCCGTGCCTCGGGCGTGGGAGCGGCTGCCGAGTCTGATGAGTACAAATTGAAAGAGGGGAAGTTTGGGTTGGGTATTGGAGGAAATTCCTTACTGTGAGGGTGGTGAGGCCTCTGGAACAGGAAGATTGTGAGCGCCCCAAGGCATGGCGGCGTGTAAAGCCGGGCTGGATGGGGCCTTGAGCAGTCTGGTCTAGTGGGCGGTGTCCCTGCCCGTGGCAGGAAAGGGCTGGGACTGGATGATCGCTGAGGTCTGTTCCACGCCTTTAACATCCTGTGGTTCAGTGATCCCGCTGTGTGGATCCGCAGCGATCCGTGTGATTCCTCAGCCGCCCGACCCCCGCCGTGCTCCTTGGAGCAAGTCCTGCCCGGCAGTCCAGACATGTGCTCGTCTGTGATTTCGAGTGAAGTCGAGTGATTTCTGCCCTTCTCCGAGGAATTAGAAATGCTCCCGGGTGTTTAATGTGGGAAATCGGGATTTTTTGACATGGCAGGTCAAAGTAATGACTAATCTCAGGAACTGCAGGGATGGTTTCAGGTGCTTTTCTAAACAGCCGGAGCTGTCACTTGAACGAGGAGTGATCGTCACGCTGCCGTGGCTGTGCCTGTGTTCCCCTGGGCGCTGGGGTGGCGCAGTTCAGGCTGACACTCCAGCCACAGGATGCCCAGGAGAGCCGGTGCTGTGGGAGACCGCGATGGGCCTAATTACTGTGTGCCACGTGGTGGCTACTTGAAGCTGTCTCTTGGCTCATCAAGTCCTGAAAGGAATGACAGCTTGGACATTCAGAGATAGTTGGTTTGGCTGACAGATCGTTTTCATCAGCAAATGCCTGTCATAATTCAAAAGATAAATTACCTTTTTTTTTTTCCTTCGGGGAATTGGGCAAGGGCTGTGAGGTGACCCAGACTATGCCCTTGTTTGGGTTATAGGCACGGATCCAAACTGCTGGGGTCTGGCAGGGACAGGGCCCCAGGAGTCTCAGCAGCCTCTGGGATAATGTTCTCCTGCATTACAGACTGTGGTGTGAGTGCTGACCTCAGTTCAACTTGTGGCAAAACATCAGTGAATTCCCCAGAGTGTCACACGTGAGCTGGGGTTAAAGGCTGTACCCTGCCAGGGTGCTCCTCTCCCCAGCCTGGCTGATCATTAGGAGCACTGTACTTGTCCTGCAATTAGTCATTGGAGCTTTTATGAAAATGGTCATGCCTCTGCTTAACCTTGATCTCAGCTGATGCTCTGTCCCAGGTAATAACAAGGAGAGCATGGGCTTAATGTTCCCAAAGAAGTGTTAATGTTTTCTGCTACTGGCTTAGCAGTGGAGCTCTCTGAATCAAATATCTTCATTGTTTTAGGCAAGAAGTGAAGCTCAAGATGAGTTTGTTGCTGGCTTTGGGAATCCTTAGTCTGGACTCTGCCATGCCTTGCAAGCAGAAAGATGCCACGTGAATTCTGGAACTACAGAAGTAAGTATTTCTTACTGTACTCAAAGATGTTGAGGGAAGCATCATGAAATCCAGGTCAAGAGTTCTGAAACTGGTTAATGGCTTGCAAAGTCCCTTACAGATGGGAAAAAGAGAAATTTGATTGTATGTAGGGTTAAGAGGTTAAAATCTTAACAAAAGGTATTATGGCAGCTATAAAATCTCCTAAGACTTGCTCCCCAGAACAAAGCAGGTGCAATCCAAGAATCCCAAAGGAGTCAAGAGGGAGAGGCTTGTATCAGAGAACCTAGTTTTTAACTCGGGAAACTTCTGATTGGAAGAATTCATGGATGTTAACTGACACGGAGAGAATTAAGTGAACAACAGTATGTTCAGATGACAATCCATGCTGGCACTACTTCAACTGTGTCATCTTGGAATATATTCCACAGGGAAAGGTGGCTGTGGTTGTGAGATTTACCTGTAGAAAGATAATCACCATCTGGGGCTTGAATGTAAGAGGAATCTGCATTTTTGTGCCCAAACAGAGCTGTTTTTCTCTTGGTTGTACTCAGTCTGTTCTGTGCTTAGCAGTTAAAATGAAGGCCCTGCTTCAGCTCGTGGAAGTACAGCTCTTGAGACAAACTTAACCAATTCCCTTGTATTTAGTACCTGGAAAAAGCAGCCTTATATAGGCAGGAAATTGCTGGCATGGTGATGATGACCCTTTGCCGTTTACCCAACTGAATGTTGTGATGAGCAGTGTTGTATATCTGATGTGCCAGCTAATCAGTAGGGTTTTCCACTTTGATTTGCTCCTGTCATTTCTGATTTTATATCTTTTTTCCCAAGGCTCTGTGACATCAGATGACCACCTCCACTGTCTTCCAGCCTTGTGCCAGCAGGAGAGTCCACCCACTTGTAGAAGTGTGGGTGTTTAAGGAGGTCAGTTGTTTTTTATTACTGTCACAGTGCTCAGGCTCCTGCAGGCTGTACTGCCACCCAGGGAAAGCCTGTACTGGGCATGTTGGCTACTACCATCCTTGTACTGCTACAAGCCTTCCAGTTTTCAAGAGCTCATGGGAGAAGCTGGGGACAAGCAAGGATAAAATGTTGTGCTCTTTCTGCAGAAAACCCCTTAATATTGCTTCTCAAAACCAGTGATTTATAAAGGAATTCTATTTCAGTCTACCCTTAAAGAGTAATTTTTCTGGCATAATGATGAGACTTTTGCCGTTTACCCATCTGAATGTTTTTTGATGTGTATCTTGAGATCTGAAATGCCAGTGACAGTAATACCTTTGTGTAAGATTAATTAAGGGTACAGGAAACTAACTCATTATTGTTATTGTTCTTAGTTTGAAAACAACAGCCTGGAATGTGGAGTTCTAATGTACTTGGAAATGCTTCCATTGTCCTTCCTGCTCATCAGAAATCCTGCTTGGTTCCATAGTACGGCGGGGAGTAGCTGTTCACTGAAAATGAATAATCTTGGAACGAAATTCAGGATAGAGTGTCACTCTGGAAAGAGAAGTGGCCTTCTGGGCAGTCTGAGAACTTAGTATCAATTTTTGAGTGTATCAAATAAATGGATCAAAAGTGAATAAGGCAAAGATTAAAATGTGGGAAAATTTGTGCCGTCTAAATAAGTGTTTACAGTGTTAGTAGTGGGTATGAATAAAATCTTGGATTTCTGTTTTCAGTAGCTTATTTTTTTTGTTGAGGCGATGGGAGCAGTAGCACTGATCCTGCTGGATGGCATCCTGGGTGGGAGTAACACAAGCCTTAACTATTCAGCTTGTCCAGATTTGACAGAAGTCTGGACAATTTTACTGCAGCTTTTTTATTTAAGGTGTATTTCTTAGCTGCAAGGCTTGCTGAGGATTATGCCTAGTGCTATATCCTATAGGAACGTCAAACACAGGAAGGCCCATACTGGGGAACCATAGGGTGCTCCAAACAACTCATCTCCTACCACATGTTCTTCATTTGTTTTTACAGTGAGGTAGAGCTGAACTCATTGAGTTACCTGCTTACCAGGTTGTCTAATTTTCTTTTACCTAACTGTAGCACTCTACTATCCCTTGCAGTCTATATAAAATAATGTAGAAACATTGGGTTTTGCAGATTGGGGTGGTTTGGTGGGTTTCTTTTGTGGTTTGTTTTGCGGGCTTTTTTGTTTTGTTTGGATTTTGGTTTCAGGAGCATCTGGCATCCTTGTTTAATCTCATATTGCTGTAATGTAAAAAAAGACACACAACATGAAGAAGTATGATAATACTTTTATATCTTTCAAAATCTATACACCATGAATAAGTAAAGACTGACTTAAACTATGAAGAGAAGATTTCTTATGTTCTTAAAACTCCTTAACCATTTGGGTGATACATTTGAAAGGAAGCAACAAGAGAAACTGCAGAATTCAGGTAGCTGAAATGAAACATCAAAATCTGAACTGGTGGTTTAATTTATAGTTGTACTCTTATTAAAAATCCTGAATCCTAAATTACTCCTTGCTTAGCTGTGAATGGTAGCCAGAAGGAGAAGTTCTGGTTGGGGCTGTGTTCTGAAGCCATGGCTTTCCAGGATATCCCTCCTGCCTTCAAATAACTGACAAAACTTGTAATTCAAGTCCTGTCAGCTATGCTTTATTCCTTGCTAAAACATCACTAAACTGTCTTCTAAATTTTTAGTAATTTTGGATTTCTAACTGCAGCCTCTCAAAAAAGCCAAAGCCTCAGGCTTTACCTTTACTTAGAGTGGAGTTTTTACTCTTCATTAGTGTTAATGTGAATTCCTGGGCTATAGGCAGAAATAAACTTGAGGAGCTGATGGTGACACTGCATGAGGTAAATATCTCTCTGTTGCAGGGAGTTTTCATCACTGAGGTCAAATGGAAATACAGGATTTGGTGCCACACATAGTGGAGATATGCCTAGGCAAAGAAGAAATTGAGCTGTAAGACTTGATATTTGCCAGTACTTTGGGGGGAAAAAAGAGCTGTGATGCAAATTATGTAGCAATGCAATCCTAGATCATAATTCTTACCTTGCTTCCAAATCTGTGTGAACAAATAATGACTGGTGCTTAATAAACAAAACAAGTCCAATGTTTTTTGTTTGCCCAGGGAGGGAAGTCTGTCCTTAGCTTAACCTAAGCCAGTGTTAGAAGAGCAATTCCTTAAATAAACCGGTATGAAGGACAGACTTGGTGCTGGCCTGTGGCCTCATTACATACAGCACTGAGACAAACTGACAGACTCCTCCAGTACCAGTCTTCAGCAGTGGAAGTTCTAGATTTTGATTTGAAATTACCTGCTATTGCAATCAATGGATGTAGAATTTGTTCAGACTGGCAGATGTGACAGTGATGTACCAAAGTCTAAGGAACTGTCGTGCATTATTTACCATGTTTTAGGGTCAGCGATGACTCAAGTAACAAGATGGCAATCACTGCATCTTCCTCAAGTACTCTCTGCCTTAAACTGAGCTTGGCATGAGCCTTAGCCAGTGAAATCCTAAGAGATCAATATAAGCATGTCAGAAATAAAAAATAACTGCAGGCATGAATGCAACGTGTACTGCCCTGTATCAAGCACTTGTGTGAATTAAAAGTTAACACTGGGGTGGTTTTTTTCATACTTCAGCTCTGCAGTTACGTCTACCACTGACAAAATACATACTATGCATGAACTTCTTGTGCTAAAAAGTGGAACTTGGCACGTTATCCATTAATACTTTTTTTGCTTCCATAATAAAGCTGTACATATTTAAATCCTTTTTTTTTTCTAGATAGCTTTAATAATGAAATGTTTCGTAAATAGCTGGGGTTTTTGGTTTTATTTTGCCTGGCAAAGCTGTTTGAACTTGGGTTTCTTTTAGCAGTGTCAATATATAAAATAAATGGCATTCATAAATAGATTATTTATGCTTGAACTTTTCAAAACATGAATCTCTTGTAGCTTTTTATTAAACAAGCTCCTGTGCAGATTAGCACAATTTCTCTTTGAAAATGGAAAGTAGGACATACAGAATTTTTAGAGCAGAGGCTGATAATGTTGATCCATGAATGGAATCTCTTCTCACCCTGCGACTTGCAAGATAATAGCCCTGAATGAGACTTTCTGCTTCTGAACTCAGTTCAACATGAAGATTCCTAGCAAACAAAATAAACTAGAGAGAGGGCATGAACTTTAAATATTTACCAGGAAAAGAAAGAATTACCCTTTTTTCACACCTTTTAATACACCACTGGCATAGTCATACAGGCTGGACAATATATTCTACAAATAGCTTTACTAGTAAAGACAGGTGTCACCATTTGGCTATACTGAATAAGAAAAATATGAAGGATAATAATAAGGACACATCTTGGATAGTAAACAAAATTATGGAATGGTTTGCGTTCGAAGGGATCTTAAAGGTCATCCCATTCCATCTTTATTCCAATGGACTCCCATTGCCCGTTGGAACTCCCGTTCCAACTTTACTTTCCACTAGACCAGGGTTGCTCAGAGCCCCATCCACCCTAGCCTTGAGCACTTCAAGGGGGAATCATCTGTTAGTTATGCTACAGCTATTGACAATTTAATTAGAATTCAATGTTAACTTCTACTGGTGGTTGTAAACTTTTTGGTCAAAAATAGATACTGGACATCTGTTCTCATGTGAATGTTAACGTAGTATATTTTCCAGAAACACGTTCAAACTGTATTATAACTGACCCTTTTCAAGATCTGAAGCTGTTTTTGTCAACGATCCTAATAGTGCTAGTGGAAATATGGTGGGGGAAAGGGCAGAAAGTGAGTATTAAAAGTAAGCAGACAGCAGAGAGAACTTTCTGATGCCAAACCCAGTATGATATTCACAAATATAATGCATTTCTAAATTACTGTGTATAATTTTTTACCTCCTCATAATCCTGTGTTCTGAACTGCTGTGAAACTTTGTACAGCATGGCTTCAGGATTAATGGCTTTTTTCAAGGTGTGATGTGCAACAGGAGAAGACAGGCGACAGGAAGGAAACTCATTGTAGATCAAGAGCCCAAAGCCATCTACAAGGTTAACTGGAATCAAACTCACATCCTAAGGAAAAGATCCACAGAAAGAAAACATTACATATTTATTTTGGGCTTTTGACTTGTAGAAGCATCACAGTGTTTTATATCTGAAATATCCTGTATCCACTTATACTGCAAGATTATCTAATGAATTACCTGTACTGTATGTTGTTTGAATGACACCTACTTTTTTGGGAAAGCTATCTCATTTTAGAAGATACTTGATTTAAAGTTATTAAAGTTGTGACTTTCTGGGAACAACTAACAAGTTTTAATGCTTTCATTATTTTATTGGTGGAAATAAACACCAGTGACAGCTATAGCACAGTTCCTCTCAGAAAAAGGCATGTGCTTTACCATCTGTCCTATTAGAAAGTTCTCCTTTTGTATATGTTTCTTTGAGGAAGAGTCCACATCTACAAAGGACCAAAAGTTGGTCTGAACTGAAACAGTGACTTGTTGGTCAGCCTCTTCTCCATACTTCTTCCCAGGAATAAATACTGTTGTTGTTCTGCTCTCTAGCACTAGGATAAGACAAAATTCATCAGTTATGTAATGGATTTAGCTTAGCTATAAATTCTAGTCCCACACACATCTGAAATCAGTCATGATTATGATTTTGCTGAATTGTTATGAATAATGAATGTCTGTAATGTAGCAGATTTAAGTTTACAGGACCTTGGCTTTTTTGTCCTTGTGTCCTACACAGACCCATTAAAAACAGTGTACAGATTTTTGCAGCATTTGAGGGCCATAAGCCGGGGAACAAACCTAGCCTTAAATTTGCATTTTTATTTAGTTCCGTCCCCTCATTTGTTAGGAGGTAGGAGATTACCAGACTGTAGAAGTTCAAGTTTATCCTTTTTATATGAACTTAAGTCTCCTATGTAACAGATGCCACCCTTGGCCAGCACAGCACTGCAGGCTTGAATACTGGCACTTCCAGTTCCGTGTTTATCTTTGGACACAGAAGGGAAAATGTCACTGGAAGGTGGGTGTCGTATGCCACGGGGCAGAAGACATAAGCTGTAATTCAGAAGCCTGGAGGATTAAATAATTCTGTCAGTCATAAATTGTTAAATTATTAACTTCTAAAAAAACTTGATAAGTACTTAGACTCACTTAGAAACAACAACAACAAAAGTCCTTAACATGAAACCAGCATCAAAACTAAATGTTTAAATACAAAAGGTTCAAGCTTGCTTTCTAACAACTGTCATCAAGACACTTTCTTATGGATTAAACATGAGGCAAATCATGGGTTGCAGAAGTAAATCCTAGGAAATCAAAGACATCTCATAATTTAACCTCACATTATTAACTCCTCTTTTTATTCTACAGAAACTTTTCCAGTGATTTAAAATTTTAGAGGATTAGTAATTCTGGCCATCTGGGAAAAATGAAAAGGCTGGAACTTGTAAGCTCTGCCTTCCTGAGTTACACACTCCCCTCCAATTCTTTTGGAGAAATAGGGTATAAAAATTCTTTTTCATCCCCTGTGCTATGTTCTTTGGCACAGAGAGGTTGCAAATTGTCTGTCTGGTTCCACAATCAAAGCTTCTTAATGATTTTAAGATGTCAGAGCATGGTTTGCCCCACTATAATGACCTGGAAGAAAATTACTGAGTAAAATAAGTAAGAA